CGCTCCAATCCCAACCTCACCATAAAACCTGCGGACAAGGGAGGTGCAGTTGTAGTGTGGCGCACTGACCTCTACATCGCCGAGGCCGGACGCCAACTCTCCGACACCTCCTCCTACCGCCCCCTTGATCAAGACCCCACCCCTGAGCACCAAACCATCATCTCCCAAACCATCCACAACCTCATCACCTCAGGTGACCTCCCACCCACGGCCTCCAACCTCATCGTTCCCCAACCTCGCACTGCCCGCTTCTATCTCCTTCCCAAAATCCACAAACCTGAATGCCCTGGTCGACCCATTGTCTCCGCCTGCTCCTGCCCCACCGAACTGATCTCCAACTATCTCGACTCCATTTTCTCCCCCTTGGTCCAGGAACTCCCTACCTATGTCCGTGACACCACCCACGCCCTCCACCTCCTCCAGAACTTCCAATTCCCCGGTCCCCAACACCTCATCTTTACCATGGACGTCCAGTCCCTCTTCACCTGCATTCCCCATGCAGATGGCCTTAAGGCCCTCCGCTTCTTCCTGTCCCGCAGGCCCGACCAGTCCCCCTCCACTGACACCCTCATCCGCTTAGCCGAACTCGTCCTCACCCTCCAACAACTTCTCTTTCAACTCCTCCCACTTCCTACAGACAAAGGAGGTAGCCATGGGTACCCGCATGGGCCCAAGCTACGCCTGCCTCTTTGTAGGTTACGTGGAACAATCCCTCTTCCGTACCTACACCGGCCCTAAACCCCACCTCTTCCTCCGTTACATTGATGACTGTATCGGCGCCGCCTCGTGCTCCCACGAGGAGCTCGAACAGTTCATACACTTCACTAACACCTTCCACCCCAACCTTAAGTTTACCTGGACCATCTCTAACACCTCTCTCCCCTTCCTGGATCTCTCTGTCTCCATATCGGGCAACCACCTAGAAACCGATATTCATTTCAAGCCCACCGACTCCCACAGCTACCTAGAATACTCCTCCTCCCACCCACCTTCCTGCAAAAATGCTATCCCCTATTCCCAATTCCTTCGCCTCCGCCGCATCTGCTCCCAGGATGAGGCATTCCACTCCCGTACATCTCAGTTGTCCTCGTTTTTCAAGGACCGTAACTTCCCCTCCTCGGTGGTCGAGAACGCCCTCAACCGTGTCTCCCACATCTCCCGCACCTCATCCCTCACACCCCGTCCACGCAATAAAAACCAAAAAAGAATCCCCCTCGTCCTCACGTACCACCCCACCAACCTCCGGATCCAACGCATCATCCTCCGACACTTCCGCCATCTGCAATCTGACCCCACCACCAAAGACATCTTTCCCTCCCCACCTTTATCTGCTTTCCGGAGGGACAACTCTCTCCGTGACTCCCTTGTCCGCTCCACACTCCCCTCCAGCTCCACCACACCCGGCACTTTTCCCTGCAACCGCAGGAAGTGCTACACCTGCCCCCATACCTCCTCCCTCACCCCCATCCCAGGCCCCAAGAAGACTTTCCACATCAAGCAGATGTTCACCTGCACATCTGCCAATGTGGTATACTGCATCCGCTGTACCCGGTGTGGCTTCCTCTACATCGGGGAAACCAAGCGGAGACTCGGGGACCGCTTTGCAGAACACTTACGCTCGGTTCGCAACAAACAACTGCACCTCCCGGTCGCGAACCATTTCAACTCCCCCTCCCATTCCTCAGACGACATGTCCATCCTGGGCCTCCTGCAGTGCCACAACGATGCCACCCGAAGGTTGCAGGAACAGCAACTCATATTCCGCTTGGGAACCCTGCAGCCCAATGGTATCAATGTGGATTTCACAAGTTTCAAAATCTCCCCTCCCCCCACCGCATCCCAAAACCAGTCCAACTCGTCCCTGCCTCCCTAACCTGTTCTTCCTCCCACCTATCCCCTCCTCCCACCTCAAGCCGCACCTCCATCTCCTACCGACCAACCTCATCCCGCCCCCTTGACCTGTCCGTCCTCCCTGGACTGACCTATCCCCTTCCTAACTCCCTACCTACACTCACCTTTCCTGGCCCCATCCCCGCCTCTTCGACCTGTTTGTTTCTTCTCCACCTATCCTCTCCTCCATCCCTCTTCTATCCGCCTCCCACTCTTTCCCTATTTATTTCAAAACCCCCTTCCCCTCCCCCTTTTCTGATGAAGGGTCTAGGCCCGAAACGTCAGCCTCTCTGCTCCTATGATGCTGCTTGGCCTGCTGTGTTCATCCAGCCTTGCACCTTGTTGTCTCGGATTCTCCAGCATCTGCAGTTCCTACTATCTCTGCACTCACAATAAGGTAGGTAAAATCCTTGGTCTTTTATAGGTGTAGTACCTGCAGCAGGCACTGCCTACCTGGTGGCGCTGCTGAGCCATGAAGAATGGCCAACCAGCAGCTATCAGTAGACAGGATTTCTGCTCCCCTGGGTCCTTGATCCTGGTATCAAGGGCCACCGCTGCCCAACTCAGTACTGGCATTTAACTCAGTTGGTCATCCTCAGAAAAATTAGGCGATGCGCATGGATGCTTTCCAGCTGGCAGGTAGGAAGCCCACCGCCTCCATCAAATACTGCCCCTTGTGTGCGAGCAGTAGAGATGAACAAGATCTGACTTGGCTGTGATATTCTGACAGCAACTATTTACATTTATCACAAAATCAAAGAATCATGCAGTAGTGAATGAGGTCATTTTGTTCATCATGTCAATGCTGGCTCTTCAGTACAGCCATCTGATTAGTTCATCCCTTTTCTGCATTTTAACAATAGTCTTGTAAACCTTTTCCCTTCAAGTTTTTATCTAACTCTTTTTAAATGTTACGATTGAATCTGTTCCCACCTGTAAAATTATTTCCTCATGCTACCTCTCGTTCTTTTGCCAATTACTTTGAATCTTCTGGTTGCTGATTTTCATAGACCATAGAATCCCTACAGTGTGGAAACAGGCCCTTCAGCCCAACAAGTCCACATTGACCCTGAGAGCATCCCACCCAGACCCAACTCCCTATAACCCACACATCCCTGAACTCTATGGGTAATTTAGCATGGCCAATCCACTTAGCCTGCACATCTTTGGACTGTGGGAGGAAACCGGAGCAAACCCACATGGACACGGGGAGAATGTGCAAACTCCACACAGACAGTCACCCGAGGGTGGAATCGAACCTGGGTCCCTGGTGCTGTGAGGCAGCAGTGCTAACCACTGACGCACCATGCCACCCCAATACAACAGAAGTTCTATTCCCTGACCAGGAATTGAACCCGGGCCGCGGTGGTGAAAGTGCCGAATCCTAACCGCTAGACCACCAGGGAAATTGCCACTGGAAATGGTTTCTCACTATTTACAAAGTAAAATCACTCATTACTTCGAACATCTCTGAGCAATCTCCTAAGTTATTTTTCCTCAAGAGAGAACGATCCCAGTTTCTTCAGCCTTCCAACTTAATTGAACACCCTCATTCCTGGTAGCATTCCAATAAATCTCCTCTGGACCCCTCTAAGGCCTTAAAACTTTCCAAAAATGTAATGTCCTGACCTGCTTGTAATACTAAAGCCTAACAAGCATTTTATAAAAGTTCAGCACAACTTCCTTGCAGGAGCCAATACGTACACATAAAAAAAATCCATATGCCAATGCATTATTCACTCTTGTATTAATCACTTTGAATTATGTAACCATGCTTTTACTTCTTTCCAATGAGTGAATGCAAATGGTAGTGTTGCATCTCATGATGGGCATTGAAGAAGAAATCCTGACCAAAGAACTGCATCGTGGGAAGACACACCAAATCTCTGCAAAGTAATTTCCAAACACCAATGTTAGAGAATATGCCCCCGTTTTTCTATGACCATGAGGACAGAAGAGTTGAAGATAACACCTTAGACTAGCAGCCTGTGTTTCTTCAAGCAAACCTTGAAGGGGGGTCCCAAGGACAATATATCTGAGAGAACTGCGGATGCTGTTAATCAGGAACAAAAACAGAAAACTGAGTTCTGAGGAAGGGTCACCTGACCCTAAACGTTAACTCTGATTTTTTTCTTCACAGGTGCTGCCAAACCTGCTGAGCTTTTCCAGGACATTCCAGATCCTAGCCAGTTGCTGCATAGGGAAAAAAAAAGTTCCTCATGTTGCCACAGAAAGGTAAATGCACTTTTAGACATATTAAGAGAACGGCAGGGTGAGGAAGGAAAAAAAAATTTGTACAACCCTTTGTAGAAAACATTGTGTTTTCAGGGGCAGTTTATAAGGGGCTAGAATTTCAACTAGTAGAGTTATATGTTCACAGTTCATAATTACTTAGCTGTTGACTGAATCTATTTTTTTTTAAATCACTCATGTGGGCATCACCAGCTGCCCAGCTGTTTATTACATATCCCTAGCTGGACTGAGAAAGTGGTGGTGAGCTGCCTTCTTGAACCGCTGCAGTCCCTGTGCTGCAGGTTGACCCACAATGCCCTGAGGGAGGGAATCCCAGGATCTTGACCCAGCAACAGTGAAGGAACAGTGATGTATTTCCAAGTCAGGATGGTGAGTAGGTTGGAGGGAAACTTGCATGTGTTGGTCTTCCCACTTATTTGCTGCCTTTGTCCTTCAGACGGAAGTGGTTGTGGGTGTTTATTTATAATAGATAGTACCTCCTGCTAAGTATAGAAGTCTGGTCCATGCTTTCTGTTAACTTGAGTCTAAAAAGTTTGGTAAATTGGGAAAGTATGCAAACTTTGATAAAATCTTTAACTTTTATGACAATTCTGGGAGTAGCAGGGTTTAATTTCCAACACACTATCCTGGTGAGGTGCGACACATCACAATAGTGACTACATTTGAAAAGAATTTCATTTCATATAAAATGCTTTTTGATGATCTGAAGTAAAGAAAGATACAAAGTAAATTAAAGCTCTTTCTTTTCTTCCTTTTAGCATTCCTTCTCACTTTTACCCTGCTCCTATAGCTTTCATCAGTTGACTACAACCACAGGAACCTCCCAGGACTCACACCCACACTCATGCAATCCAGTTACTATTCCCCCTTTAAAGGGATGAGCAATATTTCACCCGAGTTCTCTGTCAATGCCACTGTCTAGAAGGCCTGTGTTTGAGGCTGAGATGGTTGTTCCACTGATATTTCCTCCCTCCTGTCTTTGATAGCTGCATCCCAAGAGATAATTAGAATGAAAGGAATTTGCTTCAAAAATGTCAGAAGCGTCTCTTCTTCCTTTTTCTTTACCTGAAAGTTGCCATTGTGATTGTTGAACAAAGGATCAAAACTTCTGCCTGGATTGGGTATTTTTGGGATGATTATTACCTTCAACCTGCAAAAAAAAGCAATGGGTTAGACCTTAATTTAAATAGAAAACTAAGCAGGATATATGGATGAATCTTGTGCCAATTTAACTGGCGATTTCTAGGAAATGTGCTTGTTTCATTGAGTGTTATCACTTTACATTCAATAAACCAGTGATAATTATTGGGCATATGAATGAATTCTTCTAATTCTGCTTCTATGTCAATCTGAATCATCCGTATATCAGCACAGATACAGAGGTATTGTTGGAAGATGGTGAAGGAGTCAGTGAGACTAAACGAGTGGTAAAGGAGACCTTTACCACTTTTGAAGAAAACCAAAAGTAGTTCACAAAAATCAAAATGTAGTCCTCAAGAAATTTATATGTAGAGCCTGCCTCCTGTGTTTTTGCAGTCTGAACCATAAGGCCATTGGAAGAATGATGTGAACATATAAAGCTAGTTAACTATATGAAGTAAAATAAGGTGAGGGCATTGATTATTTAAGCACATATAAAGGGAAACATATGGACACTGGAATGGGGAGAAGAGTTAGGAAATATATATTTATAATATTCACCTTCTGGATAAATCTAAATTGAGTAAAAAGTGACTTCTGATCTCTTCCTTCATCACATTGTTGTTAGAGGTTCAACAGAGTGGAAATGTGAACCAAAAGACCAACAGAACGTTGAAGGGAGGGGGAGCGGACACAAGTGGTAATGGGTCTAGACAGGTCATCAAAATGCCTGTCCTGATGTTTCTCTTGGATGTCTTTTCCTTGGAGCAGAGGAGGGTGAGAGGGATCTCATAATTGAACTGTAATAAATTATGAGGGACATAGATAGGGTAGATAGGAAGGAACGTTTCCCCTTAGTGGAAAGATCAATCACCGGGCGCATAGATTTAAGGTAAGGCCCAGGAGGTTTAGAGGAAGTATGAGGAAAGTGTTTATCATCCTGAGGGTGGTGGGAATCTGGAACTCACTGCCTGTAAGGGTGTAGAGGCAGAAACCCTGATAACATTGAAGAAGAATTTAGATGTCCACTTGCGATGCCAACGCATTCAAGGCTATGGGTCAAGTGCTGGAAAATGGGATCAGAATAGTTAGGTGCTTCATTTTGATTGGTGCAGACTCGATGGGCTGATGGGCCTTTTTATATAAACCTCTATGACTGTGTGAGAGTAGCAAAGGATGATGTTTGGAAACATTGACAATTAAGAGGCTAAAAATGCTGATGAAGACAATCAATCTTAAGAATTGTACTGGTCACAAGAAGCTTTAGTCCCATGAAATATGTATTACTGGTGAATTTGTTTAACTTTACTGTGTTAGATAATGATTATACATCAATAATGTATGGAACAGATGAGCAACAATATTATCCAGATTGACTCCATACCATAAGATCATGATTTATGTAAGTTCTACTTATTTTAAGGTCTGGGGACAACAACACATTATAATCATTAAAAAGAGTGGTGATTCCATACAAAGTCGCTGGAGTACGCCACCTTACAACTGCACTAAAAAACTCAGTGAAACTGGACACATGATAAAAATAAATATTTTTAGAAAGTCAGCAGATCTGTAATTTACCCAAGAAACTTCCACTTCCTCTTAACAAAACCTAATGTTTCTAATCAGAAATTTGGAGAAGTATTAATAGCATCAGGTGATCGGGTGAGAGTAAAAATCAAATGGTCTTAAAGGTGCACAATTTGCTGACTCCTCCAGTCAAAGATTAAAGGTTGCTAAAGGATTTATGGATAATGATAGCTGGCTCATTGTAAGGATAAGTGCAAAATATGAAGTCTGTAAAATGTAGCACAGTGGTATTGTAAGCTTTTCATTAGCATATGATTATGATGAGGTAGTTATCATTTTGTATGTGCTATCCCTCTAAAGGAGCACATCACGAGAGATACATATCCAGTTACCTTTTCAAGCCTCAATTGATCTTTTCTCCACTACACACTCAGGTAGTGCATTCCAGATTCTAAGCTACGTGGAAAATGTCTTTCCCTCACGCAAACACGTTCCTACTGATGAGGCTGTTCTAGCTGTCTTTGTAGCACTCTGACAGCTAAAAATGAGAAATATTATCCTTCAGCTTAGGAAGATAAGAGAATGGAAAAGATTATTGAAAATACTCTGTGAAACACTGGCTCTTGTGGAAGCAGAGATTATGGAATTCTAGTTGTCAAACATTATCAGTGCATTTCTACTTGAGAATGTATAAAGACAATATCCCCATTGAATTTTGTGTACATGATTATTCCTAATGGGATAATGTATATGCTGTAAAAAAACTGTGTGAGGAAAGATTAGATATTGCCTTGCTGGCTTTAAACAAATGGTGGAAAGAAAGAAAATCTCTAAAATTACATGGATCATTCAAGTCATCAACTGTTAGGGATCCTATTCGATGGCACATCTCAAAGGGTAATGTTTTATACAGAATATGCAGCTTTGTTTTGATTTGTTTTTGAAATTTTGGCTGTACATTTAAGCTCTAATTTTTATTTAAAGATAGAGAAGGGAATCTGTTAACTGCCCATTAGCTTTATGCAGGTGATGGCATGTACAGGGGATTCATTTATTGCCCTGTGAAAAGGAATGAACTGAAACAGTGGTTATTGGGTGATAAGGTACATGTTTGTTATCATAGAAAAATAGAGGCATACAGCACAGAAAAGGCCCTTTAGTCCATTGACCTACCTACACTAGTCTTAGTCCCACCTTCCAGTACTTGGCCCATAGCCTTGAATGTTATGATATTTCAAGTACTTATCAAGTACTTTTTAAAGGTTATGAGATTTCCTGCCACCAGTACTGTTCCAGGCAGTGCATTCCAGATCCCCAACACCCTCTCAGTGAAAAATTATTTCCTCAAATCCCCACTAAACCTCCTTAAAATTATGCATCATTGTGATTGATCCTTTGACTGGGGGAATAACTGTTTCCTATCCACCCTGACCATGCCCCTCATTATCTTATATCTCAGCATTCTCTGTTCAAAAGAAAACAAGTATTGGCTCGTTGGTCTAGGGGTATGATTCTTGCTTAGGGTGTGAGTGGTCCTGGGTTCAAATCTCAGACGAACCCTGTTTATGAGCGGCATGGTAGCTCAGTGGTTAGCACTGCTGCCTCCACCCTCAGGTCACTGTGTGGAGTTTGCACGTTCTTCCTGTGTATGCGTGCGTTTCCACCAGGTGCTCCGGTTTCCTCCCACAGTCCAAAGATGTGCAAGTTAGGTGGATTGGCCATGCTAAATTGCCCCGTGGGGTCCAGGGATGTGTAGGTTAGGTAGGTTAACCATGGGAAATGCAGGGTTACAGGGATAGGGTAGTGGGATCGGGCTTGGTGGCATGCTCATCTGAGGGTTGGTGTGAACTCGTTGGGCCGAATGACCTATTTCCACACCATAGGGCTTCTAAGTAAACCTAAGCTAATCCATCCTCTCTTCATAGCTAAAATGCTCCTCACCAGGCAGCAACCTGGTGAATCTCCTCTGCACCCCCTCCGACACAATCATGTCCTTCCTGTAGCAAGGTAACCATAAATGCACACAGTACTCCAGCTGTGGCCTAGCCAAAATATTATACAGCTCCAGCGTAACTTCCCTGGTCCTATAATCTATGCCATGATTGATAAAAGCAAGCAACCCCCTTATTAACCTGCCTGCCACCTTCAGGTATCTAAGGACAAGCACCCCAAGATCTCCCTGTTCCTCTGAGCTTTCTCGTGTCTTACCATTCATTGAATACTTCCTGGTCTTGTTACTTCTTCTAAAGTGTATCACCTCATACTTTTCAGGATTAAATTCCAACTGCCACTGATCTGTCCACCTGACCAATCTGTCTATACCTTCCGTTAACCCAAAACCTTTTTCCTCACTGTCAACCACCTAGCCTAGTCTTTGTGTTGTCTGCAAATTTACTTATCCTCACACATTCTCCTCTATATCATTTCTGCATGTGACAAACAGTAAGGGACTCAGCACTAAGCCCTGTGGTATGCCGCTCTACACCCATTTCCATTTACACAAACAGCCTTCTACCACCACCCTCTGTCTCTTACCTCTAAGCCAATTTTGGATGCAACTTGCCAAATTACCCAGGATCCCATGTGGGACCTTATCAAAGGCTTTGCTGAAATCCATGTAAACGTCATCAGCTACCCTCATCTACACACCAGATCACCTCCTCAAAAATCTCAATCAAATTTGTTAGGCATGACTTCCCTCTGAAAAAGCCATGCTGACTGTTTCTGATCAAACCTTGCATCTCTAAGTGGAGATTAATTCTGTCCTTCAGAATATTCACCAATAGTTTCCCTACCACTGATGTGAGACTCACTGATCTGCAATTCACTGGTTTATCTCTACCCCACTTGTTGAAAAATGGAACCACATTAGCTGCCCTCCAGTCCTCTGACCCTTCTACTATGGCCATAGAGGAACTAAAAATTTGGGTCAGATCCCTGTAACTTCCTCTGTCATTTTCCATAGCGGCGTGAGATACAACTCATCTGGACCTGGAAATTTGTCCACTTTTAAGCCTGTGAAAACCTTCAAAGCCTCCTCACTTCCAAATTCAATCTGCTCAAAAACCTCACAATCCCTGTTTCCAAAATCTGTACCTGCATCCTTTTTCTCCAGAGTGAAGGTATTCTTTTAACACAATACCAATATTCCGTAGTTCCATACACAGATTGCCTTCTTGGTCCCTAATCAGTCCTTCATTTTCCTGGTTATCCTCTTCTCCTTTATATGCTTATTAAATAACTTCTTTTGTCCTTAATTTTACCACCAGTGTTTTTTCATGCCCCTTCTTTGCTGGCCCAATTGCTTTCTTAAGTTCTCCCCTGCACCTTCTATATTCCACTAAGGCCACTGTTGACAGAGTCCCTTTGTATCTGCTAAAAGCCTTTTTTTTCTTTCTTATCCGATCCTAAATATTTCTAGACAGCCAGAGTTTTGTGGACTTGCGCTGCCATGCTTCACTCTAAAGGGGACATGTTGGGCCTGTACTCTCCCCACTTTTTGTCCCCCACCTCCCCTGTTCTGCTGTAGATTCTGTCACAAATAACTGTTCCCAATCTACATTGGCCAGATCCTGTCTTATTTTAATAAAATCTGCCTTGCCTTAATTCAAAACCAATTGCACATCATCTTTAACCTTTTCCATTACAAGCTTACATTACATGGCGTTGCGGTCATTGCCATTAAAATGGTGGCCCCCTCTTACCTTGAACATCTGTCCAGTTTCATTCCCTAGATTCCCCCACCGTCCCTTGATGGACTTTCTACATATTGACATAAACAGCTTTCCTGAATACATTTCACAAAATCCAAGCCCTCCAAACCCTTTACACTATGATTATCCTAATTTGTGTTGGGAAGTTCAAATCCCCTCATACTATTATGTTATTATCATTATTTTTACACACCTCAGTGAATTGTCTACATATCTGCTCCTCTGCTGCCCACTGACTGTTTGGGGCGCCTATAATACATTCCCAACAAATGTGACTGCCCCTTTTTGTTCCTAAACTCTACCCACAAAGCCTTTAAGTCATTTCTGATATATCATCCCTCCTCACTGCAACTGACTCTTTCGTTTTTTTTATATCCTCCTCTGTCTTGCTTATATACGTCTGTGAAAAAATACTTCTAAAAGTGTCTAAAGATTGGGTCCAGTTTATTGCCTGGTGTTTCAGAGAATAATATTTTTTCCTCATGATTATGTACTTGACACCCACTCAACCACTTCATATGGTAGGTATATCAGATTAGAATATCAGCATGGAGAGAATCACAAATTCATGCTTCAACTCAACATCCTGTGTGTGTATTTATGAAAATGGCTATTCAATATAGCTGTAGTCAGAACTGAAAAGTGTCAAATAATTTAGTATACAGTCCATGGCATGCTATGCTAATAGAAATGTGCAGTTAGTGCATTCTGGCACTCCTATGGTAGCAGACACTTGTAAAAGATGGCAAAATATAACATAGTGTTTTATGAATCATAATATTTGTGGGATTTGTACTATTGGTACTCACCGTTCATTCTTTGTGACAATAACAACAAGTAACATTAATCCAAGAAGTGAAAGCACTGTGATTATAGTACGGAGACCTGCTGAACCCTCTGTGAAACAAAACAACAAAGTTCCATCACTTTCTGAAACTGTTAAGTATCTAGTTTAATTGTCAGCACAGTTTTCCTGCTGGCCCTTACCCTAATTAAACACTTTCTCCCACTTTGCTGATCACTTAGAAGCTAGAGAGGGTTCAGAAGAGATTTAATGTCATAGAAATATACAGCATGGAAACAGATGCTTCAGTCCAACTTGTCCATGCTGACCAGAAATATTAAAATAATCTAGTCCCATTTGCCAGCATTTGGTCCATGTCCCTCTAAACCCCTGCTTATTCATATACCCACCCAGATGCCTTTTAACTGTTGTAATTGTACTAGCATCCACCACCTCCTCTGGCAGCTCATTCCATACACACACCACTCTCTGTGTGAAAAAGTTGCCTCTTAGGTCCCTTTTAAATCTTTCCCCTCTCACTTTAAAACTATGCCCTCTAATTTTGGACTACCCTGGGGAAAAGATCTTGACTATTCACCCTATCCATGCCCCTCATGGTTTTATAAACTTCTATTTATCAGGATGTTGCCGGGTATGGAGGGTTTGAATTATAAAGAAAGGCTGGATAGGCTGGGACTTTTTCACTGGAGCATAAAAGGTTGAGAGGTGACCTTATAGAGGCTTATAAAACCATGAGGGGTATAGAAAGGGTCAATGGTTAGTGTCTTTTTCTAGGGGGCATATTTATAAGATGAGAGGAGAGTGATATAAAAAAGACATAAGGGGCAAATTTTTATGCAGAGGGTGGTTCGCATGTGAAATGAAGTTCCTGAGGAAGTGGTGGATATGGGCACAATTACAACATTTAAAAGACACTTAGATAGGTATATAAATAGGAAAGGTTTAGAGGGTTATGGGTCAGGACTAGTGGTGGGGGTGGGGGTGACTACTTAAGTTTGGGATTACGTTCAGCATGCACTGTTTGGACCGGAGGGTCTGTTTCCGCGTTGTATCATTCTATGACTTAGGCTGAAAAGTGCATTCGGAATATAAAGCACTGTGGGAAGATTTTCTCCTCTCTCTGCTGCTTCAGCCTTTTTCTGTGACATTGTCACCTTTCCCTTGCCATGCAGTATTTAATTGCAGAAACTTAAAGACATCCTCCAGATTCTGCTAATCAAATGCAGCGACGTCAAACAGTTAGACGCAGCACGCTGATGATATTTTCTCAACATTTTCTGAAGCATGCTGTGTCCTTTTGGGGCAAGCCAGTTCACACAATTCCTATCTCAGGATGATAAAAAGCATCTTATTTTGAGGATCAAGAAGATTAATTTAAATAGATCATACTGAAGGTTTTTATTCTACTTTCCCAGGCACCTTCTCTCCAAGGATTTTTGGAGATAGTGAAAAATGTTTCATCAGCAGCTGCTTTTACATCCTTTCTGATTTTTAGTTCCATGTGGACATTATCTGAACACCGTTTTTCAGAGGTCTAGTCTATTACATTGTAAACCCGCTTAATTTACCTGACTGGGTGTGATCTTTTCTCCACTGAATAGCTGGGCTCCACTCACTCCACAGCTTAGCGCTGGCACAATACTGGTTAATCTTACTTCGCACTTGAAAGGTGTAGAATTTCTCTGGATCTACACTTGACAAAACATACTTTTTTTGCGCATTGATGACTTGCACCTAGATGAACAAATTCAGAAAAAGTAGCATGTAATCAGAAGTGAAGATAATATTAAAATCTCAGTTCATAGGTAAACAATGTGTCTCCAAGCTGTTGCTATTTACACTGACTGGCAAGGAACTCACTTCAGATCACCATTTTCTCACTTCCTTAGTAACCAGTTGTTCATAACACAAGGAGGAAGGGACAATCTAAGCTCCTGCAAGTTGACATTCAATCAAATTCCACCTTTGTTATCAACATCAATCACTCTGACCTCACCTCTGGAGTTCAGCACTTGGAGAAAGTCTGTTCTGAGGCCAGGAGCCAACTGGCCCTGGTTGAAACCAAACTGAGTGTCAGTGATCAGGTTATTGCTGAGTAAATGCTGCGTGAGAGCACTGTCAACAAGCCCATCCATCACTTCGCTGATGATTTGAAGGTTAATGGGGCGATGTTTTGCTGGATTGGACTTTTCCCGCTTTTTTTGGATGGGACATAATTGGGCAAATTTTCACCTTGTATGTAATGCCAATGGAGCACTTAGGTTAAGGTTACAGCTAGGTCTGCAGCATTTTTCTTCAGTAATATTGCTTGTATTTTGTCAGGGTCCATAGATTTGAAGTACCCAGTGCCTTCAGCAGTTTCTTGATATTGCATGGAGTGAATAGAAATTGCACTTATGATGCTGGGAATCTCATGAGAAGATTTACCTGGATCATTTACGGAGCACTCCTTGGCTGAAGCTGATTGCAAATGCTTCAGCCTTCTTTTATGTTCTGAGATGTGCTAGGCTCCCCCATCGTTGCTGAGGAGGATATTGGTGGAGCCTTCAACTCCTTCTAGATGTAATTTTTCAACCCTATTTACCACTTGCTGCAGCAGGGCTTTGATCCATTGGTTGTGGGATCACTTAGCTCTGAGAATTGCATTCTGCTTCACTAGGTTGACATCTCACTTTTCAGGAACGCTGGTGTTGCAGATAACATCCTCAAACGTTTACACGAGACATTTGCCTTCAGTCTCCTGAAATGACCTACAAAAAGCAGCTTAATCCAAGCTGAAATCAGGAACGTAGGAGATCTTCATCCTAATACACAGTGACAAAGGGAATAATGTCCATAAGGACTCTCACCAACTTTTAGAAATGCACCATAGAAAGCATTCTATCTGGGTGCATAGCAGCTTGGTACAGCAACTGCTCTGCCCAGGACCATAAGAAACTACAGAAAATTGTGTACCCAGCCCAGACCATCGAGCAAGCCAACCTTCCTTCCGTTGACTCCATAAATTAAATCAAATCAAATCAAATCATGTACTATAATATTTGGTTCCTAAAACAATAGCTACTATTCTCTGTTTATAAGGTATTTGTTAGTAAATATTATCAGTCCTGTTGGTCATTGTCACATTGTACCTGCCAATCTTTATCCTTATTACTGCGGTGCCGGACTTCATACATTCGACATTTCAATAACTTTGCTGGTGGTTCCCAGCTCAAAAGGAGTTCATTGTTTTCCGACATATTCAGCGTCAGGTTTGTAGGAGGATAGAGTTTCACTGAAAAGCATGAATTGAGTTTTTGCTGTTATTGAAGTAGAATATTTCAAGCATTTCAGAGAGTGATTCTTTCAGAAAAATAAAATTATAGTTCAATGAAATTGGAGCAAGTGAACTGACTGAGGTTCAGGAGTTATCATAATTTCTAAACAAGAAACAAGGGAGTAAATTCAGAGGAAAAGTAGGATAATGTATCACACCCTACTCAGTCAATCTCTGCATATCTCTTCTGTTTCAGTTTAATGAGGACACATTTGATCCTCGGAAACCCAGTACTCACTGTAACCAGTACAAAATCTACTCCACAGGTTTAAACATTACAAGTACTGCAAAGTAAAGCAGTTTAATGTAGTGGAAGTTGGTGCTACAGAAACGTGAGACCTTCAAAGTTTTGGGAAAGGGCCAGTCTCCATTTCTGGGACAGTGCACAAGGGCTTCCCTGCTGGCAAGAGCTCTAGCACAGGTGTGGGATGTATGCTGCAGAAGCTATTGCTGCAGGCAAAATGGAGCATCAAGCAGCTTCTTTAACGTAGAGTGCACTTGTCAAGATACAACTTAGCTTACAATAACCGTTCATTCCTAAACATCCATTAAGAAGTGTATAAGCCTCTAGTACAAGTTACAGCAATTGAACATAATGGACGCCATTTTTTATTGGCACTGATTTCATGGTCATTATCAGACTCTTAATTTCTGATTTTTAAAAAACTGAATTCAAATTCCACCAGCTGCTACGGTGGGAACCAAACCCAGGTCCCCAGAACATTACCTCCGGCTCTGGATGAAAAATCTAACAATAGTAACACTGGGCCATCGGCTAGATTATTAGATTTTCTACCTTGGTTCTGCAGCTGGAAATTGCTCCTAGACGATATATTTCCTGAGTCATTGGATCCATTTCTGTAAATGTTAAAGTCTTCAAATTCGATAATTTTGTCTTTTGAGAAATAGCAACCAACATTATAGCCATTTTCTTGGATGTAGTTCATACATTCCTGTTTTGGTTTTGAGGTATACCTATATGGGATGAGAAATTTTTTTTTAATAGTACCTATTTCTAACCTGGAAATTCAAAATCAATCACAATGCTGTATCTTTCTGAAAATTGTCACATGCTCAACAATTACTTAAAGAAAAAGGAACCTGGATTCATAAAGCATCTTTCACATCTTCAGGAAATTATTTTACAGCCAATTAAGTACATTGGAAGTGTAGTCAGTGTTGTAGGAAATACAGCAGTCTATGATACATAGCATACTCTCACAAACCAGATAACCTGATTTTTTATTATTTGTTGGGTTGGAGGATAAATATTGGCTGGGTCATGGGGTAGGAGTATCCTACTACTTCTTCAATATAGTGTCAGGAATGTTATACCCCAACCTGAGACAGCTGATGTCTCATCTGTAAGATAGTACCTTTGTGATTCTTTGCCTACATTAAGTTTCAACATAACGTTACAGATTTTCACATGGAGCCTCAGTTGAGACCATGTTAGTTTACAAAACTAATGTCTGAAGTGGCATTATCAGGAATGCATATTTAATGATTTTTAATCTTAATAATAAAGCAATGTTCTTCTATTTTCTACCTTGTTTGCTAAGCTGAGAGGTTTAACTCTCTCACTGTCACATGACAGTGACCCAGTAATGATTTCATCTTAAATTTTCTCCCAATTCACCAGTTGAGGACCCTGTTCTTCATTCAGTACCTGCATGTAATACTCAAAGTGAAATAGCAGTAATTCCAATATTCTGATTGGACACAATTGCAAAGTAAGCTGTGGGAAGTCATTACAAGTGTCTAACTTCAACAAAAATACATAGATTTGAGAAGATACGTTCAGAATATTTGGAAATTTAGTCCAGGAATAAGGAACTATCCTAACAGTCAGTCTCATAGTGCAGCACAGTGGCTTAGTGGTTAGCACTGCTGCCTCACAGTGTGATGCTCTTCAGGAGGCTGAATGGCTTGTTACCACACTGTAGGGACTCTTTGAGCCAGAGAAAATTTAAAAAAACATAGTTTTGATAACTCTGTGACTCTCAATATGAGTTAAGAACAGAGTGGATGCATTTAAAGGGAGGTCTGTTAAGCATATAAAGAAAAAAGGAATCAAAGAAACAGCAAAGACAATTGGATGAGTAAAGACAGAGGAAATTCAAGCAGAGTTTAATTACTGGCATAGACCAGTTGGGCTCAATGGCCTGAGAAGCTAAATTAAAATTTTAACTTTTGAAGATTATCTTGCAAAGCCCATTAAAAAAAAAATAGAGGACCCGAGATAACAAGATGTAGAGCTGGATGAACACAGCACGCCAAGCAGCATCAGAGGAGCAGGAAAGCTGACGTTTCGGGTCTGGACTCTTCTTCAGATCCTGCTCCTCTGATGCTGCTTGGCCTGCTGTGTTCATCCAGCTCTACACCTTGTTATCTCAGATTCTCCAGCATCGGCAGTTCCTACTATCATAGAGAGGACCCCATGGGGTTAACAATTCATAGCATCATTGACTTGCACATGTGCGATGCCAACAGCATGGGTTCAATTCCCATCCTGAAATTCCTGTTGGATTTAATAGTGAGAATTTTATATCTATGGCCTACAGTTTTCATCAGCCACAAAAAATGCAGACACTTTCTACAGGCTGATCATTACCAAAAATTGGCAAGGTGTCACTTTTATGGAGATTCACACAGGGTATGTATATGCAAGACCTCACAAGTTTTCGCAGACAATTGGTCCAAACCCACTTCACTAACTATGCACCGCGCCCTTATGGCAGTCCGCTCATTTGATGGTAGTCCAATTTTCCCACTTGGTGGAAGTGTTTGCCACTGCCGGAATGTCCCAGGATTCCTGGTCTGGCGCTATATTTAAAAGGCAGTTGTGTACCCAGTCAAGTACTGTCAGTCTGCAGCCACTGTGCTTGATTCATGACCTTTGTCCCGATTTTTCTATTAAGGGGAAATTGGCACCCTGCTTTGCAGACAGGAATTTACAACTCCTGATGGATAGGGTGTCAATCTGGTCTAAGGTTGCCAACCGCGTCAGTGTGGTTTCAACGATCTGGAGGAATGCCCAGCAGCATTGCAAGATGGTCAATGACCTTCTCTGCCCTGCCAGGGTAAGGGCTATTGTCTTCTCTTTGCTACATCACTCTCACTCTGTCTCTGCTACTGCAGCCACCTCTAATGCTCTGCAGCCTCTCACTATAGCCCACAACATCTTGCCTCACTCACTTTCAGCCAGCCCAGGGCTCCATCTGCTCATCCTGCATGACCCCTGTGCTGCTCGCTCACTCATTCAAGACAACTCACCCCCTGCACCAGTATTAACATCTGTGCCACCCACTTTCATCGTATTCAGTCTTACTCTTTCTCTAATTCAAGAAGAAAACAGTGCATAGCAGAGCGAAAGAGCCTGTCTCGGAGGTGGGGTGCCTGATACTTGTCTGATATCCTTATGATCCTCATCAGTGATGACCAGGACCACTCCTGGGAAGGTGTAGATACAATTATGTTTCAGAGCCAATTAAAAAGCATTGACCATTCCCATTACCCTCACTGTGAATGGGTGCTAACATGTTCGAACTTCTACTCTTTGACAATGACACTTTCTGTCTTTTGTCTCCTGCATGCACCAGCTGCATTACCACAGTTTCCACAGTCAAGAGGGTGATGCCACAAGATGTCTCTTCCTCCAGCTCTGAGGAAGATGCCATGGATCTTTCAGACAATGTATCAACAAAGCTGTGTCCTGCACCACTGCCCAGCTCAGATACTGACATTGCTATGGGAAGGTTAGCTAAAGTGCAGTTGGGAGCACAGTCTGGTGAGCACATCACCACCATATCTCTTCTGCTGGCTGAGGAAGAAACGCCCCAGGTCTCTGACATTCAGAGAACTGCCAGAGACCTCTGGTCCAGGCAGGAGAGGACCCCATGGGGTTAACAATTCATAGCATCATCGACTTGCACAATTAGACACAGGAGTAGCAGGCAGCTTTATCGAGGGCACTGGGCAACATGACTCAAGGCTGCAAAATGCAGTCAGGACCCTGCTGCCTCATTCATGCAAGTGTCTGGATAGGACCATGGACATGTTTTCAGAGTCTACTGGAAACACACACAGACTTGTACTCAGGTTAGCTGAGTTGACTGAATGGCTAGTTTGCTATGCAGAGTGATGTCAAAGCATGGGTTCAATTCCTTTACCAGCTGAGGTTACCATAAAGGACTGTCCTTCTCCACTTCCCCCTCACTTGAGACATGGTGACCCTCAGGTTAAATCACCACCAGTCATCTCTGACTAATGAGAGAGCAGCCCTATGGTCTGGTAACTCTATGGCAACTTTACCTTGGTTTTCTTCATCAGCTATGCATGTGCAAAGTTTGTCTAGCCAAGTTGAAGGAGAACTGAACTATCTTTTGTGTTACATTGTATTTTATGGTCCAAGGTGTGAAGTTAGCAGCTCCTACAACAGGTGCGGGCTATGGGAAATTGGCAGGTAATTACTACTTTGGCAATCAGGGTAAAACTTTTCAGATCCCAGAATATTGCCAGTGCATCACGGACATTAGTGGAATTGATTTGTAACGTTGCATGATATGGTTAAGTGTACTTGAGTCAAGGATTGGGACTCTGCACAGTAGCTTAATGTCTAAGATATATAATGTGTGTATATATGCATTTCATGCTCACTGGTAAATTTCAGCTTTAGTATGTGGATGTCTGTATAACTCCATTGCTGTTTGAAGGGCCTCACATTGCTCACAAATGAAGACCCCACCCCTCACGGAGCAGAACATTTACCCTGCTGAGTCCAGGTGTGATGTCAGCCATTTCTAGCTCCATTGCTGACTTGTAATCTACAGCATGATGGAAGGAAACAAGGGTCATCCCTCAAGCAGTGAGTATCAGGCTCATCCTCTGATTATTGGTGAACCCCAAATGTACATATTCCCTCTTGGTAACCCTTTCTGTCAACCCCATTGGCTTTGAACATCACCAAGTTCTTACCCAACCCTCTATCTAAATCTTCATTCCCCCTACTTTACTTTCCCAGTCCTAGGCATATCATAGAAACGTAGAAAGTAGGAGCAGGAATAGGCCACTTGGACCTTCGAGCCTACACTGCCATTCATGTGATCCATATGATCATGGCTGATCATCCAACTCAATAGCTTGTTCCTGCCTTTCCCATTGTTGCGCCCTTTGATCCTTTTAGCCCCAAGTGCTAAATCCAACTCTTTCTTGAAATCATACAATGTTTTGTCCTCGACTGCTTTCTGAGGTAGCAAGTTCCACAGGCTCACCACACTCTGGGTGAAGAGATCACTCTTCATCTCAGTCCTAGATGGTGTACCCTGTATCCTTAGGCTGTGACTCCTGGTTCTGGACTCCCCTGTCATCAGGAATATTGTTCCTGCATCAACCTTGTCTAATCCCGTTTGAGTTTTAAAGGTTTCTATAAGATCACATAGAATTCTTACAGTGTAGAAACAGGCCCTTCGGCCCAACAAGTCCACACTGACCCTTGGAGCATCCCACGCAGACCCATCCCCCATAACCCACCTAAGCTACACATCCCTGATCCACCTAACCTGCGCACCTTTGGACTGTGGGAGGAAACCAGAGCACCCGGAGGAAATCCACACAGACACGGGGAGATTGTGCAAACTCCACACAGACAATCGCTTGAGTGTGGAATTGAACCTGGGTCCCTGGCGCTGTGAGGCAGCAGTGCTAACCATCGAGCCACCATACCGCCCCAACTGCCTCATATTGAGTCAACAACCCAAATATGGTCGGTATTCCCAATGAAAAGCCAGTGTACAGCTGACTGTTAATGACACCCACCACTGCCCTTCCATTTCCCTTCAATGCTCTATTATCTCATCTCTTACGTATTGAGCTGCCTCACCTCTTCACAATGTAATCCCCTCTGTTTCCCAGAATGCTGCCTCCAATCTCCACAATTTAAGTTCCCAGCTTCCCTTCCGCAGTACTGGATAGCCTCCTTAACTTTTAGCCTCAAGACTGACTGTGGCCTATCCCAATGAATGGGTTAGACAGACAGCGCCAAACAGTGACCAGACTCCTGACCGATACCTGTTCAGCTCCCGACACTGTTCCCGTGAATCCCCAAACAGGTTACAGTAGACCTACAGGGTTGGCCATGGCTCACTGCATGTATAGTAGAGGTACAGATCCCCTGACTGGACTGCTGTTAGTGGTTCACAGACTGTATCAAAGCCCCTGGGCTGATAGGAGAGGCTGCCCTTGACTTACTGTGCAGGGATCCCCTACCTGAACAATGCATCCTTTGCTGTGACACGCCTTAGATTTTGAGACATGGCTGTTAGTTTGAAGCATTTACAGTGCTTTTGGTGCATGTGCAGCTGGCACATGGTGCAGGTGTTGAGACCGATGTCACATGGTGCCACATAGCAACTTGTTCACCTCCTAACTGATCGCTGCCATCAAGTGTGACAAACTGCCTGGACTCATGTCTGCACTAAAACGCAAGGCAACACAGAAGGACTGTGAGATGGTAAGAACTGCCAATGCTGGAGTCAGAGTCAACACAGTGTAGAGCTGGAGGAACACAGCAGGCCAGGCAGCATCAGAGGAGCAGGAAAGCTGATGTTTTGGGTCGGGACCCTTCTTCAGAAACGTCCCGAAACGTCAGCTTTCCTGCTCCTCTGATGCTGCCTGGCCTGCTGTGTTCCTCCAGCTCCACAGTGTGTTATTACAGAAGAACTGTGAGCCTGTTAGCTCTGGCTGAGGGGACGAAACACAGAAAGGCAAGGCAGATTTGTTGTGATCATCCAAGTAGGCACAAAGTGAACGAACAAATGAGAATCCCTGAGTCTGGACCTGAACTTACGGTAGGTGTCCATCCCTGCAGGAAGCGTCCTTACAACAGCCAGCCAATGAAAAGTGCTAGTGAGCTTCAGAGTGAACAGTGAAGTATAGAAACAGGGCAATGGATTGGAAATGTGTCATGATGATGCAACAAGGCTTGTGTCTATCAGATGCCAATGTCTACAGATGTGGGGTGTATGCAGCCCCTGCCTATAGAGTGTGCCCTGAGATGCTGATGCTGGCTCAACAACATGGAGGTCCTTTGGAGCAAGTGGTGAGCTGGAGCTGTCAGGTATCCAGAATTCTTGGAGAATATATTACTGCGTATTAACAAGGCAAGATAAACAATAATGTGGGTGATAATGAAGGATCATAGGCATTTCACCACTCACTAATGAGAATCTCATCTTGTCCTTAAATATTTGATTGGAAAGTGGGACTTTATGGTCTTGATGTCAGGATGCTCCATGCTGGTCCTCTCACCTGGTTTTCCCAAATTTCTCGCCATGGGCCAAGTCATTCCGGGGCTGGGAAGATTCCACCACACATGTTTAAGTGAACAACCTGCGTTAGTATTGTGAAGACCTTCATGCCACTTCTCAGCTTTCTATTTTCTAGAAAGAGAGGCCCAGACCTCACTCCCACTTCTTCCACTACTGACACTCAGTAGCAGGGGTGTGTACCATCTACAAGGTGCACTGCAGAAATTCACTCAGGCTCCTTAGATAGCACCATCCAAACACATGACCACTACCATCTAGAAGGACAAGGCCAGTGAATATGTGGGACCGCCGTCAACTGCAAGATCCCCTCCAAGCCACTCACCCTCCTGACTTGGAAATATATCACCCTCCCTTCTGTGTTGCTGGGTCAAAACCTTGGAATTCCCTCCCTCACAGCACAGTAGGTGTACCTACATCAAATACGCTGTAGCAGTTCAAGAAGGCAGCTCACCATCACCTTCTCAACAGCTTTACAGGGTAGGCAATAAATGCCCAACCAGTGAAATCCACATCCCATGAATTAATTCAAAAGAAACCTAATTCTTAAAAATATCAAAGGTAAACATTTTATCAGTGCCCACAGTTTAAAACATGTTGGCTGCATTTTGTGGCAGATAACTTATTTAACATTTGTAAATAGGCAAGGTTGGCTACCAAAATGAATAAATGAAAATTAATCAATTTTTGTACTATTTTTTGATATGAACAATCAAAAAGACTGACCATTATAAATCAAATGGCCTCATCATTCAGCTGAAACATTACTTCTGTGGTTACAATATAATGCATAATTCTTTAATTCCTGAGAACACAGAATTCAACCAGACTATAAATTTGTAAAATAATAGTATCCAAAAGATGCCTTTGTACATAATGTAAGAGATTTGTGGTCTTTTCAAGATTAAAGAGGATTTTAATTGTAAATCGCTAGTCACCCATAGCAATTGTCTGTTTAAAATTTGTGAAATAATAAATTTTGAATTGGCACTGTGTCAGTTTAGCCCAATGAACTAGTCTTAATATATCAGCACAATCTAGATTGAGAGTTGAACTAAATGTTTCCTGTTACTCCTTTCCATAATCATATCAATGGCTGTTGACATTTTGCATGTTCAGTTTGTTTCAAAACACTTTCCAATCTTTGATGTTAAAAAGGTTTCAAATCTGAATCTCTTAGTTCAGTTTATTCTGAGTAATTTTGAGGGAGACTGAATGCTCACTGCTCTGACATCATGCAGGTTTCATTCTTTAACAGCATTGAAGTTGCATACTTAGCTTAATATGGAGAGAGCTATAGTCTGCAACAAACCCATGTTTCAATTGACCTTCCAATATTCACTGGGGTAGTTCACAGGGACCTTTACTCTTCGCCTGTATCTAACATAAGGGTGTTTCATTCTTAGCAAAAATTTGTAGAGTTCCATTTCTCAGTCACAACATTATTTACCAAAGTGTCAACAGTAATATATAATTTTACAGCATGGAAACAGGACATTTGGCCCAATTGGTCTATACCAATGTTCATACTACACAAAACCATCCTGTCTCCTTACATCTAAATCTCATAAAATATGTTTTCCTCCCTCCCTCCCTTATATACTTATCTAGCTTTCCCATAAATCCATCTTCACTCTTTGCCTTAACTACTCCAAGCAGCAGAAAACTTTATTTTCTAACTATTCCTTGGATTAAAAAAAACTCTTGAATTTCCTATGGAATTTGCTCGTACTTATGTTCTATTTGTGGTTTGGGCTTCTCCATAAATGGAAACAGCTTCTCTGGGTCTACTCAATCAAAACATTTCATGATTTTAGGTTTCGTTATCAAGTCAACTTTCTCTCCAGCTTAGTCTGTACATTATAACTTGTGGCTGCAGAGCTGGGACATACTGCAGAGTTAGTGTATATATTGGGTTTGATTTGGGATTTGAAAAGATGGAGTACCAGTTGAAGTATAAATTTATTACAAAGACAGAAATTGCTGGAAAAGCTCAGCAGGCCTGGCAGCATCTGTGAAGAGAAATCAGAGTAGACATTTCAGGTCCAGTGAACCTTCCTCAGGACGGACCCCTCCCCAGTTCTGAGGAAGGGTGACCAGACCCAAAACGTTAATTCTGATTTCTCTTCACAGATGCTGCCAGACCTGCTGAGCTTTTCCAGCAACTTCTCTTTTTGTTTCTGGTTTACAGCATCCACAGTTCTTTCGGTTTTTATAAATTGATTACTTTTGGTGAGAAGAATGGAAAAGTAAATTTCATTGTCTGCACGTTAATGTGAAGGTTCAGAAAGAGAAATGTTGCGTTATTCTTATTGTGAGGCTGATGATGAACTTTAACAGCACGGCAGTATGCATTTTGCTGGAATATAAGGTGCTGTGTATAATTTTGCTCTCCTTATCTAAAAAAAGGATGCAATACTTAAAGGGATTGCAACAAAATACTAGCAGATGAGTTCCTGGGATGAGATGGAGAAATTGAATGAAATGAGTCTTTATTTTTGAAAATGCGACATGCTCTCATTGAAATGTATAAACCTCTCAGAAGGGTCAGTACTGAGAGGCTGCTTCCTCCCAAATGGAGAGATCCAACTGGAGAATGGTGCCTCTGTACAAGGGTTTAGAGCTGAAGTATCTTACTTCAGAAAATCTTTCGAATTCTCTACCTAGAGGGCTATCGATGCTTAGTTAATGGGTATTTTTTAGGACTGAGACTGAAATCAGAGAATTAAAGAATACGGGATGTGGGATATGGCAGGAAAATTGAATTAATGTTGTGTTGAGTCATGCTGTCCTTGAGTGGTGGAGCAGACCTGAGGACCAGAATGATCTACTCCCACAGCCATTTCTCATGTTTTTATTATGATCTTATGCTGGTGTTATTTCTTAAAATAAGTAGTAGCTTAATTATTAATGACCAGGAAGGAGCTATAAACCTCCACCTTCTGTCCCCTTTATTATCTAACTGAGATCAGTTCATTGAACTCTGAGCAGAGTTGTAGTGCAAGATTATTATTGCCCCACACAGTTCAGTATCCCAATTGGAAGTGTATTCACTGGTCAAGCTCTTGGAGAAACTTTGCTTCCTTCTGATCAGTAACAACATCCATGGGATCTGCTGCTGTGGTGTACATCTGAATCTCAGAACAAATACACAAAAACCTGCAAACCCCTTCACCCAATCAGCAGACTCACCAATAAAACAGGGTGCTGTTTGGTTCCCCTTCAGTGTGGTTCCATCTACATTCCATAAATTCCTCATTGTAGACAATGCAATTTAAATCTGAAACAAAAGCAGAACATGCATTAACATACTGTGTCTAAATGTCTCAAATTCAATCAAATATAATTTCACCTACAAACTGGTATTCTTGAATATTTTGATTTTTCTCACATTGGATTGGATTGGATTGGATTGAAGTGAGAAAATTTAAGTTAAGTCTGATTTGTAATATTACATGAGTCACTTCCTCAATTGTTGCATTTCCAGATGGTTTGCCTTAAACAGTTATGCTCCTGGGCCAAAGTGGGTGAATTGGCTCTCCTTAGTTATTCACCCACCCCTTTGTTTGGTCACTGCAAGGTTAATTGTTTGTGAAAAGTGGATAGTTGATCATTGTAGCCATTGCAGTAGATGTCACCAGTAGCACTGACTTTGGCATTTGAAGTCAAATATAATATTGTTGGCATTGTACATTGATTGAAACTCTTTTGTCCTGATTCCTATTGGCAATGGCTGATTGGTGGCACTTGGAGTGGGACAGAATCTTTTCCATTTCTCTTTTTTCTTTTCTCTCTACCTGCAGAGCAGATGTGTTTAAATGGCTGTTCTCAGAGTTATGCCCCTCACAGCACACTAATCCATCAAGCCATTAACGAACACAGAAAAGAGTTGAAGTTCACCTTTAACCCCTATTCCTGTATATTCTTCAAAGGGGGAAAACACAAATATGTCTTATGTATAGATGGCATCTTTCTTTGACCATCAGGTTAACAATCTGAGATACTTATAGAAAATTACAAATTGAATTTATGAAGCACTTTCTCCCTTTGAAGCTTCATTGATACCTCATCAGGTGTGACATTCCAGAGCCACTTTCTCCAGCAGCCGCTGAATTCATATGTGCAGTCAACCCTTGGCTATATGTCCTTTCAGTAAAGAAACACACATAATTAAAATTTGAGATGTCCAAAGACATTCTAGGGTTATGATTTGTGATCATGACACAGGTTAGATCATTGCACTTCAGAATGTGTGGAGTAATCTCACTGGGAATATAACACGAATCCTTTGTTTCCTTGATTTGTTAATTCATTAGCAATATTAAGCAATTTGTTTAGGTGATAAACATTAATGATAAGATTTTATAATTCTGTTAAGATTGATCATCAACTCACTCCTGTCTTGTTCACTGAATCTTGTGAAACTCATCAACATCAAAATATTTCACAGATACCTTTTTGGAATTTTTAAAATAACTCCATTGTCATCTTGAATAAACATTGACAAGTCCCACAGGAAACTTTCTAATGTCTTGAGCTGTTTGTCAGGCCCTTTTACTCTATTAATTTCCCATTATTTACTTTGCCTTTCTGTTACTTATAACTGTTTTCTTGAAAATACAGGTTGGCCGTTATCTATAAATATTTGCAGATTTGATTGCTCTTCTCTCTTGCTCTCTTCAAATTTGCTATTTTCTTGCAGTACTGGAAATGGTTGTTCTCCTGGCTTTTTCTACAAAAGAAGTTAACAAGTTATCCTGTATGTAATCTTTAGGAATACTCTGGTCAAGCTGCCAGTTTATTGAATGCATTAAAGCGCAGCCAGGGTTGAAATTATCCATACAGCACCTGAGATCTTCAATTTGTGCTGAGTTAGCAGATCGTATATACTGACTAACTGTAGAAATAAAAATAACCTATTTAAATAACAGGGTGTTGCAGATTAATACATGGCTAGAGAAAAGATGCAGGAGGGAGGGAATCAGATTCCTGGGATATTGAGACCAGGACAGCAGGATGGGTTGAATCTGGGCAGGACTGAGACCAGATTTCTTGAGGGATAGGGGTTGTGGGTTTGTGGGTTGGGGACAGTCTTTGCTAGTGGTGTTGGGAGAGTTTAAACTAGAATGTTAGGGGAATGGGAACCTGAGCAGGAAGGTAGAGGGAGGAGAAACAAAGATAGAAACAAAAGAAAGAAAGGTAGGAAGCAAATGTAGAAGGCATAATAAAAAAGAGTGACAAACAAAGGAGTCCCTGATGCAAAATAAAGTGAAGATGACTAACAAGGTTAAATAGACATGTCAAAGGCTTTGTGTTTCTTTGCAGAGCATTTGCAATAAGGTAGATGAATAATTGTGTAAAAAGATAGAAACGGATATGATATAGTTGCAATTACTGAGACATGCTACAAGGTCACCAAGGATGGGAACTAAATGTCCACGGGCATTCAATATTTAAGAAGGACAGACAGAAAAGGAAAGGAAATGGGGTAGCATTGTTTGCATAGAAGTCATCAATGCAAGAGCGAGGAAGGATATTGGCTAGGAAAATCATGGAGTGCAATCTATATGAGTGGAGATAAAAAAACACCAAGGGGTAGAAAACATGTTGGGAGTTATCTATAGACCCCCAAACAGTAGTAGAGATGTAAAGAGATGCATTAAACAAGAAATCAGAGATTTATACAAAAGGATGCAACTGTAATCATGGATGACTTTAATTTACATATATATCAGACAAACCAAACTTGCAATGATGTTGTGAAGGATGATTTGCTGGAGTGTGTATGTGATGCTTTTTAGATTGATACATTGAGCAGCCAAGTAGACAACAAACTATTCTACACTTGGTACAGTGCAACAAGAAATCTTGTTATGCAGGGTGTCTTAGGAAGAGTGACCATAATAAATGAAAGATAGAATTCTTCATTAAGATAGAGAATGAAGTAGTTGAATCGGAAACTAGGGTCCTGAATCTAATAAAGAGAACTATGAGGGTATAAGATGTAAATTGGCAAGGATGGATTGGGGAACCTTACTAAATGTGTTGTTGGTGGATAGGCAATGGTTCTTATTTAAAGATTGCGTAAGTGAATAAGAAGAATTATTTTTTCCTGAGATAGTAGGAACTGCAGATGCTGGTGAATCCGAGACAACAAGGTGCAGGGCTGGATGAACACAGCAGGCCAAGCAGCATCATAGGAGCAGAGAGGCTGACGTTTCGGGCCGAGACCCTTCATCAGAAAAGGGGGAGGGGAAGGGGGTTCTGAAATAAATAGGGAGAGAGTGGGAGGCGGATAGAAGATGGATAGAGGAGAGGATAGGTGGAGAGGAAACAAACAGGTCGAAGAGGCGGGGATGGGGCCAGTAAAGGTGAGTGTAGGT